AGTCGCCCCCTGCTGGTCACTACAGAGAAGTAGAGTCATTTCCTCATAGACGTCTATGGGAGCAGAGGAGTCGCCCCCTGCTGGTCACTACAGAGAAGTAGAGTCATTTCCTCATAGACGTCTATGGGAGCAGAGAGAGTCGCCCCCTGCTGGTCACTACAGAGAAAGTAGAGTCATTTCCTCATAGACGTCTATGGGAGCAGAGGAGTCGCCCCCTGCTGGTCACGGTGATGATGCAGCTTGAAGGTTGGACTACATTAACTATCAACTCTGTCCGCAGCTCAACAAAGATTGTGGAGTATTTCTGTTTTAACATTTTAACATAAGGTGTATTTTTTCCGTCTAGTGGGTCGAACACGGTGAAGTCCGCCGGAACGATTCTAGACGACATCGGCAACATGTTCGACGACCTCGCCGACCAGCTGGACGCCATGTTGGAGTGAGGAGAAGGACTTGAACTTCCTTCTGACAGGTTCTGGTTCCAGCGTGACTCTGGAACCAGAACCGGACTGAAGTCGGACCGCCGTGTTCTTCTCTCCGCCCACTGAGACAAGAACATTATGAGGATTATTGTCATAAGCCCATATTGTTCCATGAAGCCCAAGGTCAAGGAGCGTACTTCAGAACATATCTGACGTACTTGTACATGTTCTACTGTATACTTCTACTACACCTCAGAGGTAAATATTGTCCACCAATAAATGATGAGGTATTATTGTAGATTATATAAAATCATGAAAATAAACATTAATAATATTTATAATATATATTATTCCGCATGATGAGTACTTTTACTTTTTTATTCTCTAAATATTGTAAATGCAGTCTTTTTAACTTCCCAACTAATATAAAATAGAATAAGAATTAAAACGATTAGGAATTAAAACTATCCCCATAAATGTTTAAAGCTTTGGATCAGAACTTCGACTCCCCAGTAAAACTGTTTTTATAACATTTCAAATTCTATTTTATCTGTGTTTTTGTGTCCAAAGGGAAGCATGTCGCTGGTGTACAAACTATTTTTTGATATTCATTTTAGTCAAATTTGTATTTAAATGAGCGGCATCTAAATATGTGTATTGCACACTAGAGGTGTCGTACAGGAGGAGATATTCAACCAAAGTCTGTATAGATTTACACGAGTCCTGTGTGTGTGTGTGTGTGTGTGTGTGCGTGTGTGTGTCTCTCATCTCCGTCTGCATTATTTGTTTAACAATGAAATATCTACGATGTTACACTACTCATGTTTTTGTAATTGACCAATATTATACTATAAATGTCAACACGTGTGTATATATGTATATATGCATATACATGTGTGTTTATATATATAATGAGATCATGTTTGATAAATATTCATGTTATGTCCAGAAAAAGTTTCCTCATATTTTTCTCCTTTTAAAGTCGTCTGTTCTAAAGATTCGTGTTGCCAAAAGATAATAAAAGGTAAAGAGCTCCTCTGTGTTCATTTATCTGACTTGTTATTTTTATAATGTCTAACAGTGTTTGTATTTATAACAAATTCAAAATCCCTTTAAAACCCTGAAGCTGAAATTATTGCTACGTGAGCATTATTTTTCCATTTATTTACTTTTCTTTATGAAAATATAGTTCTCCACCAAACTCATTACTTGTAAATACTTTACATTAAATCAGGGCAGAATGAAAATGAAAACATACATATACATTATTATTATATATTATAAAAATAATATCCAGAAAAAAATTATTTGCATGAAACAAATATACATTTGCAAATGATGACATATTAATTTGACTGTGACACTGCTACATCATTAGGTGACGTCAGCACGTCTACTGTGACACGTGGCCGGTTTCAGGGTGACGCAGCGCTGCGTCTGTCGGTAAACCACGTGACTTCCAACGCCTACTTCCGCTAGACACGCCCCTCAGCGGTCTGGGTGGTTCCTGACGTTCCACCGGGGGAACCAGACCCGCCTGACTGCCTACGGACGAGGTAAGAACTCCGCTCGCGTTCCCCGCAAAGCGTCTAGACGGTTGAAACGTTCGACAGACCGAACGTTCAGAGGAACAGAACGTCTGGTCCTCCGAGCAGAACCTTCACTCCGCTTCAGCAGCTCGTTGGCTTCTGATTCGCTGCGTTTAGCACCAAATGTACGTTGGAGCGCCGTCTTATTTAAATGCCGCAAGTTTGCATAAAGGGAGAGTTTGTGTTGAGGCGGCTGTCAGCTGTCAGGCTGCTCCTCAAACGACGCAGTCAAGCTGCTGCTCGAAGCTCCTCAAACCGGAAGAAGCTCTTCAGATGTCGGAAGTACCTGGTGGGAGGCGCCCAGAGGCTCCTGAGGGCGCGTGAGCAGGAAGTAGGAGGGGGAAACACCTGAGCTGATGGAGGGGGTAGTTCCTCCTCCCACCTCCTCCTCCATCATATTCATCATGATCTACATATAGATGGATGTAGAGTAATGAAGGACTGGTAACTAGTACTTAGTCATGCTAGGACTAGTAGTACTCAAGTACTAGCAGTGATGAAGTTCTACAGTTGACTGCTGGTGAACTGAATGTAAAGTTCCCTTCTGTCTGTCTGCAGCTTCTATCCTGCATCATGTCTCAGAAGGGAGGAACCCGAGGAACGGAGGTTCTGATGGAGGCCTCCATCATCCGCATTCCCCCCCACCACTACATCCATGTGTTGGACCAGAACACCAACATCGCCCGGGTGGAGATCGGACCGCTCACCTACATCCGGCAGGACAACGAGAGGTCAAGAACCCTTAAAATGATCTGTTCGGGAACGCTAGAAGGAGCCGTCATAAAAGGGACCTTCAGGAGGAACCTCAGAAATAACCTAAAAAAACAACCAGCAGGATGAACCGCTAGAAAGGAGCCAGTAACCTCAGAAGGAACCTTTAGAAGGCGCCTTTGGGAAAGAACCTCAGAGGGAACCGTGACAAGGAAGTTTTAGGAGGAAACTTAAATAGGAACCAGTAGAAGGAACCTTAGAAGGAACCTTGGAAGTAAACAGAGAAAGAACCTCTGAAGGGACCATTTGAAATCAACCGTTGAAAGGAACCGCTAGAGGAACCTTAGTAGGACCCTTAAAAAGGAACCTCACTCTAGCAGGAAGCAGCAGCGTGCTCTCAGACTGATGATTGATGGACCTTTCCATCCTCAGGGTCCTGTTCTCTCCGGTCCGGATGATCATGGTTCCGCCTCGTCACTACTGCGTGGTCATCAACCCGGTTGCTCGTGGTGATGACCAGCAGGTCCGTTTTGACCAATCGGGTCAGGCTAAGCTTCGCCACGCCGACCTGGAGATCCGCCTCACGCAGGACCCGTTCCCCCTGTACCCAGGAGAGGAGGTCCAGCAGGTAGGCACAGGCCCCGCCCCCTTTGTACAAACCTTTATTGTTCATCACTTGCGGACAGGAATGTCCGTTGTGTTTTACGTTTTAATGTTTTTATTTGACCCGTTTGGGAAATATCTTTACATTTTATTTTTTAGATCACGCTGCTTATATTAGTCATTAATTAAATGTAAACTACATTGATCACATTAAAGCATTGATCATTGGTCCTTTGGATGGAAGTCATTGATCATGCATGTAGCTAACGTGCAGCTTTCTCCTCCAGAACGTGACTCCTCTGCAGATCGTGTATCCCGACACGGCGCTGCGTCTCCAGGCTCTGCTGGACTTTGAGGAGGTGGGAGGAGTCAAGAGGGTGGCAGGAGACGAGTGGCTGTTTGAGGGACCAGGTGAGTTTTTATCAAACAGGAGATGCATCCATCGTATCTCTGCTTATCATCTCCTCATGCACCTCTTCCTGGTCTCAGGGACCTACATCCCCAGGAAAGAGGTGGCCGTGCTGGAGACCATCAAGGCCACGGTGATCCGAGAGAACCAGGCCATCAGACTGAGGGCTCGCAAGGAGGGGGTGGACCGAGAGGGGGTCCGCCGGGTCACAGGTAACACACACACCAGGGGGTGGAGTCAGTTAGCTCTCATGAGGGGGCGGAGTCACGGGTAACACACATTAGGGGGCGGAGTCACGGGTAACAGCCATGAGGGGGCGGAGTCACGGTAACACTTTTACTGTGCTTTAATCCAGTTACTTCAGTAATAGTTGATAATAACTGTGCGTGTGCTGCAGGTGAGGAGTGGCTGGTCAGTAAGGTGGGGGCTTACCTTCCAGGAGCCCACGAAGAAGTCCTCGACATTGTGAACGCTTTCATCTTGACAGACAAGGTGAGTGGGCGATTCAGAGGACCGTCACTGGAGCAAGACCCAGATGATGACTCAAACGTCATCATCATCCACCGCCAATAAAATCTGTTCATTTGTCAAAGTCTCAGAAATCGAATGAAAAAAGATGCAGAAATGCCGACGTGTAGAGACTGAACTCTGCTGCAGCTCCTGATGACCTCCGATTTCCTTTTTATATTATTAAGTACTTTAATACCCCCCCTTCCCCAGAAAGCGCTCCACGTTCGTGCCCTGCGCTCCTTCAAGGACGCCGGGGGGCGGGACCGGCGCACGGGGGAGGAGTGGCTTGTCACCATGGCGGAGCGGGAGGCCCACATCCCGGCGGTGGCGGAGGAGGTGGTGGGGGTGGTGGAGGTGACCACGCTGAGCAGCCGGCAGTACTGCGTCATTCTGGACCCAGTCGGCGCCGATGGGAAACCTCAACTGGGTCAGAAGAGGGTGGTGAAGGTGAGGAGGGGTTCTGATGACGTGTGTGTGTCACGTATATAAGTCACTTTTGGATCTTTAAGATACGTTCATGTTTTCAGCCGTTTTAATGTTGAACTAAAAAATCTTTGTTGAAATCAGCAACTTTCAAAAATATGAAAGCAAATAAATGTCTCCATGTGTAATTTAACTTTTCACTATAAATACACGGTTGTAATAGTTATTCTGTCTGTGTATATCATAGTTCCGTAGTTGTGCATTTTTATTGCTGTTCTTTACATCTTAATGGATTATTTATGTTGTCTCGATGGTGTTTCCTCTCACTATGTCTTTTAATTGCACTTCACGCTGATGTAAATCCTCCACTAAGACCAATAAAGGATTATCTTCTATATCTCATCCTGTCTTCTCTTTCTCTTCCTCAGGGCGAGCGCTCGTTTTTCCTGCAGCCAGGCGAGCACCTTGAAAGCGGCATCCAGGACGTGTACGTGCTGTCGGAGGAGGAGGTCTGGTGCTGAGAGCCGTAGAGCGTCATGACAGCGAGCAGGTGAGGGAGAGTAGAGTCATTTCCTCATAGACGTCTATGGGAGCAGAGGAGTCGCCCCCTGCTGGTCACTACAGAGAAGTAGAGTCATTTCCTCATAGACGTCTATGGGAGCAGAGGAGTCGCCCCCTGCTGGTCACTACAGAGAAGTAGAGTCATTTCCTCATAGACGTCTATGGGAGCAGAGGAGTCGCCCCCTGCTGGTCACTACACAGAATGCAGCTTTGTTGACAGTTTGGAGAAGCAGACTCTCCTCCATCTCTTGCTCCTCCTCCCACTCCACCTCTCCAATGCATCGCCACGTTAACGCTTCTCTCTTTGCCAGTGTGAGGAAGAGGAGGAGGAGGAGGAGGAAGAGGAGCGTGAGAGGGCAAAGCGCTCGCGGAGGTGTGACGTCCTCCGTCGCCCTGGCGACCGCTGGATGCTGCGCGGCCCCCTGGAGTACGTCCCCCCCGCCGCTGTGGAGGTGGTGCTGAGACGACAAGCAATCCCATTGGACGAGAACGAAGGCATCTACGTCAGGGACATCAAGACGGGGAAGGTGGGGAAACTATGTTTAAAATGTTTTATTTCATTTATATTGTTTTATTATTTTTAAACAAATAACATTGTTGTAGAAATGTTTTAGTGTCGCTGGCAAACAAACATGAAGCAACTGACCAAAAATATAATTCAAGAGGTAAAAGTGATACAATCGCCTTCTTAGTTCATCTCCTCTCTAAAGACTAAACGTGAGCTTAAACAGGGCGACTATACATCATATGATATTTATAATGTAGACTCCTCTTGATCGTTTATTTTTTGCGGTCTGTTAGTAATTTTGGAAACCAGGGTTTTGTGAGCAATCCAATAAAGCAGAAAAATGAATCTCCGGTGTCCCAGGGACGGGCCTTTATGGGTCACACTTTCATGTTAACCCAGGAGGGGGAGCCATGCCCACAGGCGCTCCCCCCCAAGGCGGAGACCTGTCAGGTTTCCAATGGGTCCCGCCGGGCCGATCGTTCCGACCTCCCCAGAACCGGACAGGGCTTCCGGAGGAACAACACCAGGGGGCATTCCTCCCGGATCCCCCCCAACGCCCCCGTGCAGGTGTATGACTACGGGGAGAAGGCGGCCAGGTGGGGGTGATGGGGGGGGGGGGCTGTTGGACCTGAGATGGTGGTGTAACGCGGCGGGGCTGACGCTGGGGTTCTGGTCCGGTCTCCAGGGTACTGTTTGGACCGGAGATGGTGATGTTGGGACCTGACGAGCAGTTCACCATGCTGTCGCTCTCCGGGGACAAACCCAAGAGGGCCAACGTCATCAAGGCCATCTGCCTGCTGCTGGGGCCCGACTTCTTCACCGATGTCATCACCATCGAGACCGCTGACCACGCCCGCCTTCAGCTGCAGCTCTCCTACAACTGGTAACCGCCACACATCTGGCAGCAGCTGGGCGGGGCTTTGTGCGGCTGGTGGTGGTAGGAACCAGGACTCGGGTGGTCCCGGTCGGACCTCTAAACTGAAGCTCCTCTTTCTTCTGCGCGTACTGTTCCCTGATGAATCCTCCGCTCACGTCGAAGGTGTCTTCCTCTCCAGGCACTTTGACGTGAAGTTCCCGGTGAGCTCGGCCGATGCGGCGGCTTTGTTTTCAGTCCCCGACTTCGTGGGAGATTCCTGCAAAGCCATCGCCTCCCGGGTGCGAGGAGCTGTAGCGTCTGTGCAGTTCGACGACTTCCACAAGGTCCGTATTCTATATAGTGAGAAGGAGCATACTTAACAAGGACTCCTCACACACAGGAAATGCTCTGTTCAGCGTAAACAACCTGCAGTTAAAGAATGTGAGTTGATTAATAAAGAAAAACATCACGTTTTCTGTCTGTTTTGTGAGTACAATCATCTTAAAGTAACTCAAGTCGTCTGACTGGGAAAGAAAGACTCAAGTTAAGCGCATTATTAAGCATATTATTAAGTGACATCCAAGATGCTTCTCGTTGACAGAACTCCAACCGGATCATCTGCTCGGCCGTGTTCGGCTTTGACGACAAGCTGGCGGTTCGTCCCAACCTTCGCTTCAGCCAGAACAACCTGATGATCAGCAGCGTGGACATCCAGTCTGTGGAGCCCGTGGACCAGAGGACACGGGACGCCCTGCAGAAGAGCGTGCAGCTGGCCATCGAGATCACCACCAACTCCCAGGAGGCCGCCGCCCGGTCCGATGTCCCACTCAATCACATTTCACATTGATCACAGTCTACGTCGGTCACATTCTACGTCGGTCACATTCTACGTCGGCCACAGTCTACGTCGGCCACAGTCTACGTCGGCCACAGTCTACGTCACGGTCTACGTCGCTCACAGTCTACGTCGCTCACAGTCTACGTCACGGTCTACGTCGCTCACAGTCTACGTCGCTCACGGTCTACGTCGCTCACGGTCTACGTCGCTCACAGTCTACGTCGCTCACGGTCTACGTCACATTCTACGTCGCTCACAGTCTACGTCACATTCTAAGTCGCTCACATTCTACGTCGCTCACATTCTACGTCGCTCACATTCTACGTCGCTCACATTCTACGTCGCTCACATTCTACGTCGGCCACAGTCTACGTCGCTCACTGTCTACGTCGCTCACTGTCTACGTCGCTCACTGTCTACGTCGCTCACTGTCTACGCCGCTCACATTCTACGTCGCTCACAGTCTACGTCGCTCACAGTCTACGTCGCTCACAGTCTACCTCGCTCACATTCTACGCCGGCCACAGTCTACGCCGGCCACAGTCTACGCCGGATCTCAGTCTACGCCGCTAACAGTCTACGCCGCTCACAGTCTACGTCGGTCACAGTCTACGTCGGCCACAGTCTACGCCGCTCACAGTCTACGTCGGCCACAGTCTAAGCGGCATCTCAGTTTAAGCCGCTCAAAGTTTACGCCGCTAACAGTCTACCCCGCTCACAGTCTACGTCGCTAACAGTCTACGTCGCTCACAGTCTACGTCGCGCACAGTCTACGTTGCTCACATTATACGTCCTCACATTTCTACATCGCTCAACTTTTACGTCGCTCATGTATACGTCGCTCACTGTCAGGTCGCTCACAGATACGCCGGCTCACATCTACAGCACTCACAGTATACGTCGCTCACAGTCTACGTCGCTCACAGTCTACGTCGCTCACAGTATACGTCGCTCACAGTCTACCTCGCTCACATTTTACGCCGCCACAGTCTACGCCGGCCACCAGTTACGGCGCATCTCAGTCTACGCCGCTCACAGTCTACGCCGCTCACAGTCTACGTCGCTCACAGTCTACGTCGCCCACAGTCTACGCCGCTCACAGTCTACGTCGGCCACAGTCTACGCCGCATCTCAGTCTACGCCGCTCACAGTCTACGCCGCTCACATTCTACGTCGCTCACAGTCTACGTCGCTCACAGTATACGTCGCTCACAGTCTACGTCGGCCACAGTCTACGCCGCTCAGTCTACGTCGCTCACAGTCTACTGCCCAATAACATCCTTGACTGTGTGTCTTCTGCCGGCTAGCCTCGAGTCTGAGCGCCTGGAGCAGGAGGCCCCGTCGCTCACAGTCTAAGCCGGCCACAGTCTACTTCGCTCACAGTCTAAGCCGGGCACAGTCTACATAGACCACCGTCTACGTCGCTCACAGTCTACGTCGCTCACAGTCTACGTCGGCCACAGTCTACGCCGGCCACAGTCTACGTCGCTCACATTCTACGTCGCTCACAGTCTACTCCCAATAACATCCTTGACTGTGTGTCTTCTGCCGGCAGCCACGAGGCGGAGCGCCTGGAGCAGGAGGCCCGGGGGAAGCTGGAGAGGCAGAGGATCAGCGACCAGGCCCAGGCTGAGCGAGCCAGGAAGGAGCTGCTGGAGCTGGAGGCGCTCAGGTAGCCGCGGGGTCGGCGTGTATTGTCCTGGTGCCACATGGATATAAAGTACTGAAGTGAGCTCTGCTTCTCCCGTGTTGGTCAGTGCTGCGGTGGAGAGCACAGGAGCCGCCACCGCCGAAGCTCAGTCTCGCGCCGAGGCGGCTCGTATTCAGGGCGAGGCGGCGGTGAACGAGGCCAAACTGAAGGCCGAAGCTCAGAGCATCGAGGCGGTACGTCCCACGTTCCTGTCCCACCCTTCAGCGTAACGCTCACTCGTGTAAACGGGTCTAAACGACCCCGTGTATGTATGTGTGATCACAGGAGGCGGAGCTTCAGCGCCTGGCGAAGGCCCGTGAGCAGGAGCTGAGCTACAAGAAGCAGATGGACAATCTGGACGTGGACAAGCAGAAGAACCTGGCTCACATTGAGAGTCAGCGCTTCAGTCAACTGGTGGAGAGCCTGGGCAGCGACACGCTGAAGGAGATCGCCAGAGCCGGGCCTGAGCTGCAGGTACTACCACCACTACCACTACTACTACTACTACTACCAGTACTGTGAGTAGTAGTACTGCTACTAGCATCTTAAACTCAACACCTCTAACTGACTTCTTCTCGTCCTCCAGGTGAAGATGCTGCAGGCTCTGGGCCTGAAGTCGACTCTCATCACGGACGGGTCGTCGCCCATTAACCTGTTCACCACCGCAAACGGCCTGCTGGGGGCGCTGTCGGGTCAGGGGGAGATGCAGTGAGAAGACGGGGAGAGGGGGAGACGTGGGGAATAGATTGTCCAAAAGTAAACCTCAACAGATTCTCTCCGTCTTTCTGAAGGCCGTCTTAAGCGTTCTTGTGTGGCATTTTAGATCACGACCATCCGTTAGCGCTGTTAGCTCGCAGGCTCTGAATGTTGCATGTGTTCACTTTTTAAAGCAAAACAATGTGCCTTTTTTATTCACAGATGTGCTCGATGGGTTTGCTAAATGTCAGATCCTACAAAGTGCATCTTAATCTGTCGTCATCGGAAAACTGTAGAACTGCGACACTATAAATGAAACCAAACGTTTAACTGACAGAATATAATCTAAAGTGAGACGTGAGCCAGGCGCTCCCTTCCCATGTGACCCTTTTTGCACTTTTCTCTCGTCAAAAGAAGGAGAATCAGAGGTTTACTTGTGGCCATGAAGACGGCTTATTGTGCCTAAGAAAGTCGTACAAGCTGACGGCCAAAGATCCCTGTTTTCTGCTACTTGACCTGCGTGTTTATTTCATTCCGTCTGTCCTTCTCTGCCTTATGTTTCTACATAAAGAACATTAAATCCTGCTGTTTGTCGCCACTGCTCATTTTAAACAAACGCTCAGTTCTCTGTTGACGGAACGTGTAAACTTTTTAAAAAATATATACAAATAAGAAGTATGGCACTAAAATACTTTTATTATACTTATCTCTAGTGTGGAAAGATTTGAAGAAAAACTACAGAAATTGCACTCAATGAGAAACTTAAATTTCAGAAGAAATGTTCCTATAATTTGTTTTATTTATTAATGTTTACAGCATATGAAGTATATAACAGTATTAAGTTACATTAACAATGTAGCAGGAATATTAATCCACAAACGGATATGATAGTGAAACATTTTACTCTAACAACATGAAGTACTATATACCTTAATTATGTATAGTACTGGAACAAGTACTTAGAGGATCTGAATACTTCTCTTCGTGCTAATTTAAACAGTGATTCCAACAGGCGGCACCAGATACAGAATAAGCAGGAGTCTGAATTCGCAGAGAAGAAGAACTCCGCTACCCACAATGCCTCACCCGCTTCCGGTTTGCAACCATTCGAGATCTAAGATGGCGGACCGGCGGCGACGGAGGAGGCGCGCGTCCCAGGACAGCGAGGACGACGACGAGTCTGGTTCTGGTTCGGACAGCGGGAGGTCCGGGTCCCCGACGGCGGCCAAGAGCCGCGTGAGGGATCCCGAACCGCCGGAGGTGGCGCCGGCCCGGGTCGAGCCTAAAGTCGAGGCGGAGTCGGAGTGTGTGAGTAGCTAGCTCGCGTTAGCTCGCGGGGCTGACGGCTCGGTCTCCCGGGGACGTTTACCGCGGCCGTTTAAACTAGTTCTCTTCCTCTGGGCCAAGTGCGGTTAACGGTCACGGGCCCAGCAGCTCGCCTCGGCGTCCGGTTGTCGCTCGCCGAGGAGCGCGGACGGAAAGGCGCCAGTTGGAACGCGTTTACGCGACTGCACGTTTTAGCCACAACACCGGCTCGGTACCGCTCGCCAGCGGTGTTTCCACCCGGCTGCTGGGTTCGGTGCTCCGCACCCGGCCAGGCCCCGCCGAGGCCCCTCTAACGGGGGGCTTTCGCTGTACCAGTAGTAATACTATGTTCCAGTAAAAGTACTAATACCACACAGTAATAATTCCAACTTGCAGTACAAATCTAAATACTATTAAAAGTACTAATATATCAATATCATTTGCCTCAGGTGTACTTTCGATATGCGGTTTAAATGCATATTTGTATTATTTTAACCCTTTTCATTATGTTTTTATTCTCAAACCCAAACTAAACAACTTCTCACTCGGCCGAAGCTTCTTCCTCGTGCAGTTAAATTCTTTATTTTATCATTTCACTCCTTCCCACTTGTATGCAATCAGTGGTCTAAAATACTAATTACTGCTTCATTCAAAGAAACAACAGCAGCAAACGTGTGATGATGATGATGATGATTAAACGCATTGAGTCAACTTTGCTGTGTGAATGTTAACTATTGTACATTTGATTGATGGGAGAGCTGCTGATTCACCACATTCAACGCTTGTTTTTTTCCCTTTGCAGGAGAGTGAAGATGGAGTCGGAGAAGGTAAAGCTTCTAGAACACATGCCAGTGAAGCTAGCCGTAGTCTTTAATGCTATGCTAATGTGGGACAGCAGCTCAACATGCTAGTGGGACACGGCTCAGCTCACATGTCTGTTTTCCAGCTGTGCTCTCGGACTACGACAGCGCTGATCCAGAAGAAAACGGATCCCATTCAGAGGTAAAGCATCAATGTGTGGAGCCGGTGGCACCGAATCCTCATCAGATATATACGCGCCGTGTTTGAATAGATTCACTTAATCATCACCAAAAGAATCAGAGTTCAAGTGTTTAGAGGGCTGCTTGCTTCTCCTTATGTTATCAAGCAGGTAAATATCATTTGTATTCAAACTTAAAACAAGTTTTTGTTTCAGGTTTTTGAATTTACTGAATGTATATTGTTAAACAAAGAGATGATGGTGAAATAAAAACCACGCATGAGCAATTTGAAGTAAGAAATGAGGTTCAATGTATTTAGTAGATGTCCTCCACTTAATGAAGAATCCAAGGAGGAGTTTGTCCTTTGAGTTAAAAGCCGCCTCCCCTCAGGGAGCCGAGGAGGAAGAGGAGGCCGAGCAGTACAGCGACGAAGAGGCTCCGGCCGGCGAGGCCACGCTGCCCGCTGCCGACGGCCCGGCTACGGTGGAGGAGACGCAGCAGAAGCTGGTGGAAGTAACGGTGCTGACTGAGGGTGAAGAGGAGGAGAAGGGTGAAGAAGAGGAAAAGGGGGAAGAGGAGGTGGAGGAGGAGGAAGAGGAACAGCAAGGAGGAGGAGGTGACGACGACAGTAAAGAGGAGCGCAAAGCAGAGGACAACGAGAACCTGGCTGGCGAGAGACAGAGCGGAGACGGACAGGTGAGACCTAACGGACGACTTTGTCCTCAATGGAAACAGAACCACCACAGGAAGTAGAAGCGACTCTGACAGGAAATAGTCTCTTTTTGTAGAATAAGATTTTAAATGAGACCTTTAGATGAAAGCTGTGTCTCAAGTCGCTAGACGGCATCCTTGTAGCCTTCAGCTACCTCCCCTGCTTCTGTTGCCTAGCAACCTGCTGCGCTTAACAATAAACGCCCTAGAAAAAGTACAGATGAAGATCATCCTATTTAATTTAATTCAGGAAGAAAAGCTTTCAAGCTGAGAGAAGAACTTGTTTTGGTTATTTTAAACTATCAGTTGGGTACTTGTGTACTTTCATCTGAAAGAAATGATTTAATCTCAAGGCAGAGGAGATTCCATCAATTAAAAAACACAACAGCAAACCCATTTATGAATCTGTATGAAAGGGTTCTTAGACTTCATTGTGACAAGAGAATAAGTTCATCCTCACTCACTCCAGCATGACGTTTCTGACGTACAGGAACCAGAACATATGGTGGGTTGTTTTTCTGTCTGTAGACAAACTAAAAAAGTGGAATTTTCATAATCTGCCGTGTTGTTAAAACTCGTGTTGTTGTTGTCTGACTCGTGGCATCGCCTCCGAACAGGAAACCAGGAACAGTTTCTAGTTCACTTGTTATTTATTTTAAATAAAAAACCTGAGAGAAAGATGAGTTGTAATTGTTTGGATGCCTGATGATGCAAATCACCATCAAGTGTAGTCACAGGGCCGAGGTCAAAGACACGTTTCTCCACCAACTTATAGGAGCGCCGCCTCACCTGTAGGGGGCGCACTTTGCTTTTAACACAAAGAAAAAGAACACATAGGTTGATACATGGACATAAACTGCGGTTGGTTGGTTTGCTCTCACACAGGAGTCCACAGACGACCCTGAGACAAAAGCTGCAGGGAAACCCGGTCAGAAGCTGGATGACGACGAGGACCGGAAGAACCCGGCGTACATCCCGAGGAAGGGTCTGTTCTTTGAGCACGACGTGAGAGGCCACGCCCAGGAGGAGGAGCGGTGCGTCGCCATCATACCAATGAATTGACTTCTCAACCGTAGATCCCAGAACTGACGTTTTTAAAGTTAAAAACAGGGAAATATCGGATGAATATTTGTCAGCGCTCCTTGATTGTGATCAGGTAGCAACTCGTCTCCTCCTCTCCTGGTCTCCTCTCCTTGTCTCCTCCCCTCAGGCCCAAAGGCAGAAACAGGAAGCTGTGGAAGGACGAGGGTCGCTGGGAGCACGACCGCTTCAGGGAGGAGGAGCAGGCGCCGAAGAGCCGCGAGGAGCTCGTCTCCATCTACGGCTACGACATCCGGAACGGGGGGGGCACCGCGGAGCGGCCGTACCGACAGCGCAGGCCGAGGTCAGTGAACGCACCGCCACAGGAGAAGATGCAGCTCTTCCTTCAGTGTTTTCATCAGGATTTCCTAGTTTTCAGTTTCTGGTGCAAATGAAATGTCAGTTTTATGCTTTGAGGCTCAAATGATGCGTTTGCAGACCGTTGGACATATTAAGACTGCAGGACATTCTGCTAGTGGTGATTGTCTTCTTGTCCCTGCAGACAGAGTTTGTCTCCCAGCAGAGACAAGCGGTGGAGGGACGGAGGAGGAGAGCGACCGGTTCGGACCTGGCACAGTGGAGGAGGAGGAGGAGGCCTGAACCGGGGGGGAGTGGCGCCCGTGTCTAGCCACGTACCCCCGACCCCCCTGTCCTCCCTCCCCCAGCGTAGTAGCAACCCCTCCAGACTGCCGCCGTCCCGAAGCAGACAGTCCCACCCCCTCCCGCCCCAGTACAGGAATGACGAATCCAACACGCCCCCGATGCCCCCCAGGGAACGACAGGGCCCCAAAGCTCCCTACGACCCTCGGGGGACCGGGGCCCGGCGGTCAGGGGGGGTCGCGGGGGGGTGAGAGGCTCCTCCGTGGTCATCGAGGACGCTGCGGTCGGCGATCAGGCCCCGGACGCCGTGACGGCGTCTCAACCGGGCGGTTACCCGTCTGCGTTACCGCGGCGACAGCAGCAGGAACAGCGAGGGGGCGTCGGCGACCGATTCGTGTCAGGGTTGGCGGCCTCCGACCAGCCGACCATTCGGGAGGCCTCTCCCCCCGCCGAGAGGCCCCCGGAGCGCAAGTCCTACGCTCTGGCTCGCAGGACCCGCTCGCGACCCGCTGACCTGGGCAGCAAGCAACCGTCAGTAGAGGAGTCCGCCACCTCCTCACCCAGCGGGGCGGGGGGGAAAGGCTGG